AGTCAGAGCGGGGCGCGCAATGACGAATCAACCTAAAGCCAAAGGGCCGAAGCCTCAAAGGTTGACAGCGAACTGGGGCGCAGTACTGCCAGGGTGAACGCATGCAAGAGGCCGGGGCTGACACCTGCTCGGCAGGCTCCACTGCGGCCCGCGGCGTCACCTGGGGCGCCCGCGCGGGGCGCCCACCAGGCCCTGCCGCCTTCGAAAGAGGGCAGACCATCGAAGCCACTCCCTCGGGAGCCACTGGCGGAGCGCCAGCCGACGGACTGCAGCATGCGCCGCAGCTCGTCGCTCACCTGGGGCTGGAAGTCGGCCTCCCGCCGCAGGGCGCCGCCCGCCGCAGCGAACGCTTCCTCCCGCGCAGCCGCAACCTCAGCCCCCAGCCCTCGAGAGGCCGCCGCCGCCGCGGCACCCGGCGCAGCGCCCGCGACAGGCGGGCCAGAGCGCGCGCCCGCTGCCCCCGCCGCCGCCGTCGGCGCATGCGGGGCCTCCTGGGCCCGCCGAAGCCCCCGCGACCCGCGCCTGCGCGGCGCGGCAGCGCCAGCCATCGCGACGCCCATGGACTCCTTGCGAACGGCCGCCGAGCCGCCCGCAGCGCCGCCAGGAGCTGCGCCAGCAGCGCCAGCCGCCGCCGCCCCGCCAGGCCGCGCCACCGCGGGCCGACCACCGTCGGCCCACGCGTCGCCCATCGAGTCGTCGTCGTAGTCGTCGTGGAGCATCGAGGCGGCGCCCTCCGTAGCGCGCCCGGGCCCGACGGCCCCGCCCGCAGCTCCAGGCGCCCCGCCCGCGGCCCTGCGCGCCGCCGCCAGGCGCTGGCGGCGGCGCTTCCGCCGCGCCGCTTTCGCCGCACCAGCGGCGCCAGCAACGCCGGCAGCTCGTCCACGATCGCCTCGAGGCCCCACAGCACAAACAGCCGCCGCGGGCGCAGAGGGCGTCGACGCCGCGGCGGACACCGCCGATCGCGCCACGGCCTCGACAGAACGCCGCGGATCGCCCGCCTTGGCCGCAGCCCGCGCCGCCGCCTCCACCAGGGGGGCGGCGTCGCCGACTGCGAGAGCCCCTCCAACGAGGCGCGGGGCGTCCGTTCCGAGGAGGGCCGACCGCGCACCACCAGGCATGCAACCGCTCGAGCCAAAATGGCTCGAGCCAAAATGGTTATGGAGGCTATATACATGCACACATATATATATATAGCGTCCAGAATGATGGCTTCTGGGTACGCAACTAAGGGGGAGTTCGTGAAGAACGAGAGTGGCGAGATGGAACGCGCCACCAGACTGCGCCAGGTACTTCGGGGTTTCATGGGCCTCGAGGCATTCGACGTGGAAACATTCTCAGGAACAGCACGGCGGCCAATCCAGAGATTACTCGCAAGCGCGGCAGCGTGCAATAAGCAATGGGCCATTGCTTCCCTTGACATCAGCATGGCTGTCCTGAAAGGGTTGGCCTGCCAGGAACTTGCAGAGGCAGCCGGTGAAAAGGAACGCGTGGCGTGCTTTACCTTGCCGCCTGGATCAGCATCGGTGCTTCGATCCCACCCGGGATTCGAGCACTGCGACGGGCCGAAGCACTGTTTGCAGTGCCTCAAGCCAGGCTCCGGCACCAAGGATGCACCCAGAGCCACCTCATTGAAGCTCAGAAGGACCAAGAGAGGCTTTGGTCTCAGACCCGCGTCCTACGACGAGGAGTTCGAGGCAAGCAGTGACCTGCTCACAGCCAGACATGTTGATGATATCAATATGGCTGGTCCTCAGGACAGCATCGACAAGTAAAGTTATGTAAAATGCGTCGGGGACACGTCTGGCAAGTGGAGAGTAAACAAACGCACATGTGCAAATCGTGCTGCGAGGTACACAAAGGATGGGGGCAGTAATGTTACACTGGAACAGGATGAATACATCAAACAGCTCCATCCTATACAACATTCTGAACTCACAGGCGCAGACGTCCATGCCAAAGCATCTAAGGTGGTCGCTGAAATTTTTGTCGGCCTCAGAGGCGCGTTTGCTTACGCATTAATCACACAAGTGTGGTTGATGGCACATGTGGTTTCTTTACAACGTGTCCAAGAACCGACCAATATACAAGTGCGACAACTGCGCGCGATTACCAGAAAGCTGCAGGCCTGCCCTAAGAAGATCGTTGATCGATCGATGACTCTAACGGTCGAAGTTGAACTGCATAGAGACTCGCTCTGGCTATCGACCTCTGAGTGAAGATGCCGGTGGCGAGGTCAAAGGCTACGGCATTCGCGGGGCATACCTGCTACGGCGTGCAAGCACGCCATCCGGTACGCCTGTCGTCCACTTGATCGATGCGCACTGCAAGTTTCATCGCGCCCAGGTACGCTCAAGCCATGCAGCAGAAACGCCAGCGGCGGCCCGCAACTTGGAGGACTGCTATCCCACGATCGTGACTCTGCACGAACTCCACGCAGGGCCACTGACACCCACTCTGTTGAAAGATATACTGCACATGGGTGGCCTGAGCATTAAGGTCATTTGGACCATAGATGCAGAACATGTCTTCAATTTCTTATCAAGCAAAGACCTGCAGAAACCGACTGGGTGTATTCTTTTGGGGCACGTCAGTTGGACACGACAGATGATGAAGCGAAGAATAGTGCTTGGCGTCTAGTGTGACACTCGCGACATGACCGCGGACGGTCACACAAAAGGGGGCATTGACAGAGATGTGCTCCTACAGGTCATGGGAGGCACGCGATCCTTGAAGCATGACTTAAACATCATAATCCTGATCGGGCTGGCCAGACGGCATCGTCGGAGGCCGCCTGAAGAATAATCGTCTGCACAGCAATGTGCTCGCAAGGCGACTTGCTTGCGGGTTCACCTTCCTGACGGACACGCCTGTTGCTGCCTTTTGCGTGTACGTAGTGTTGACTGTATAAGGGCGGCGGACTCACGCTTCGTCTCCCGCCCCCCCCCCCGATTCTGACCGAAAACATCCTTCGCTTGAGATGGCCCGTCGCTCCCGCGACGACGTCCGACTGGGACAATCGTTGCTACGATACAACAGAGCGAAGCTTCTGGTCGGGCATCCCAGCCCCCTTCAAACTGGGCCGACTCGAAATCATCATGGACCGTCGTGGGGCTACCCTGGGCCGTCCCGACGCTCTCTGGGACTGTCTGGGCGCTATGTGTGGACCCTCTTGGGCTGTCTGGCGGCTCTTTGGCGGCTCCAGTGGCCCGAACGGGGGCGTCGGGGAGCCTGGGGACCCCCCCTTCTGTTTAGTCGGTGTTTGGACCCTGGGGGACGGGGAAAGGGGGAGGGGGACAGCCAATGTGTCACACGTCTTTTCACCCCCGGCTGTCCTGCGAGCAGGTGCCCACTTGTTATTGCTTTCTTCCGGCGGTTTTGGGCTCGCGTCCGATGTTGATGGCGCCCTGCGAAGTCCAAAATCGACCACACGAGTTGCCCGCATGTATCTTACAGCAACATGTTTCAACGCACGGTGCTGCGCGCGCTCCAGCATTCTACAGCATTGGAGGCTAGAACTTTCGACACCCAGCTCGGGGGCACCGTTTGGGGGGGCGACAAGCCCAGGGCCCCCCGATCGCCCACTGATCGCTGGCAGGGGCCCGTTAGCCCACCCTGCCCAGGAACGCTCGGGCTTGCAATCGGAGGCATATCACCGATTCAAGGTCGATGTTCTTTCCCTGAGCCAGTCCCGCTAGCTCCCCCCTTGTCCCCCCTCCTGGGCAACGGTACGGATCGCACGGGGGGGAGGTCCATTGGACATTTCCCCCCCGCATACTGGTGTTCGCGCGCGTACTACGGCGATTGCAGTGCACCCCCGCCACGACGTGCCCCACCCCGCCCAAGCATTACCGTTACGCGTTGACCTGGCCCCCCCCCTACTCGGGTAACGACCGCTGCCCGGAAATGACAAGAGGCACGCGTGCCATGGCTCAGGAGGTGGAGGAAGTGCTCCGAGATGGCCTCCAGGATGGCTCAAGAGAGCTCAATCCAGTTGCTGGTGGCCCCCATTCTGCTTCCAAGATGCTCCAAGAGGGTTACAAAGCGGCTCCAAGTGCTGTCGGAGAACCCTCGGGACCCCCCCACAGAAGCCAACACTCTTCAAAAACCTGAGGGAATTCAAAAAGTTGTCATTGACACTTGTCCTTTCCAATGGGCTTTTGAAGCCTCCAGGCTTGGCTGGCTGGGTGGAGGGCGGTGCTGCCGCCGTGCGTGCCAGAAAAAAAATCATGGTGGCGGAGGGGGCGCGCTGGCTGGTAGGCGAGGAGGAGCTGGGGTGGCTGTGCTGGGGGGGAGGGGTGGTCGCATTGCTGGTGCCGTGCGTGCGCGCCGGTATAAAATGGTCGGGGCGGAGGAGGCGCGCTGGTTGGAAGGCGAGAGAGAGAGCTGGGCTGGCTTGGAGGGGGTTGACCGGTCCGGGGGCCCGGCGCGCGTGTCGAAACATGTGTCCGTGGCGGAGGGGGCGCGCTAGATGGGGGGCGAGGGAGAGCTGGGCTGGTGGGGGGGGGGGGGACAGGCGGTGCCAGTGCCGGAGCTGAGGTGGCGCGCCGGTTGGGGAGGGATGAGGAGCTGGCGGGGTGGCTGGGGGGAGGGGGGGGAGCGGTGCCGATGCCCTGCGTGCGTGCCGAAAAAAAATGCTCGCGGGCGGAAAGGCCGCTCTAGCTGGGGGGGGGATGGCTGGGCTGGCTGGGGGGTCGAGGGGGCGCGCCGGCTGGGTGGCGAGGGAGAGCAGGGGTGTCTACTGGGAGAGGGGGGTGAGCGCGCGGTGCCGGTGCCGTGCATGCGTGCCGAAAAAATGTGGTCGGAGCGGATGGGCGCGCTGGCTGGGGGGAGAGGAGGAGCTGGGCTGGCTGGGAGGGGGATGGGCGGTGCCGGTCCCATGCGTGCGTGCCGAACGAAAAATCGTAGAGAATGAAAGCAACCAGCCACACCATCCTTGACTCCCATAGCTCCTTGGCGGGCCAGACGAGCTGGTTTACGCCTCAGTCCCCCCCCTCCCGCAGGCGTTCTCGCTCGCGCAGCACGCGCCCTGGGACCTGGTGCGTGGGGTGGGGGCCTGCACGTCGAGGCGTCGTCGCCGCCGCCGCCGGTGCTTCGGAGACTCCCGGGCGTCGTCGTCGTCGTCGTCGTCGTCGTCGTCGTCGCCGTCGCCGTCGCCGTCGCAGTCGATACCATCGCCTTGGCGGGGGCGCCGCCCAGCAAGGAAGCATGGCGTGACGGCGGCCTGGCAACGACCATCACAGACGAGCAGACGGGTGGGCACCATTGCGGGCCCAAGACGAGGAGGAAGAAGGAACACCAGCGGGCCCAGCGAGCAGACGAAAAAGCACCGTTGCGAGCCCCACCTGCACGAGAGGTGGACGCACTGGCAGCATCCGAGCGATTGGCGTCTGGCCCAGCAGCGGTAGGGAGGCCCAGGCATGGTGCTCGCCATGCTCGGCTGAGTTCATGTATGTCGACCTGGCGGTCACAGAAGAAGTATGCCCACCACGAGTCCTTCGCACTGAACCCGAACACGTGGCTTCCGGTTGCAGCAGACATACGATTGCGGCTCATGGAGCCCGTCGAGAAGTGCAGCCGGGCTTTGGCGCGGCGCCCGCCCTCCACGTCGAAGGCGACGCTCTGCCGAGCCTGCTTCGCAGGGTGGCAGGCTTCGCGCGCAGGATGGAGGCTCGTGAGCGTGCCATCATCCTCACCGTATGTCGGGGGCGGCCAAGAGGGTGGCAGTGTCAAGGGGGGGTATTTCATGGCGAAGGCCAGGATTTCTCCCCAGATTTCATGACGCCTCGTATTACTTCAGTACCGCCCCAGCCCCCGTCCCTGGGACGCGCACGTGACGCCGGCCATGATTTGTGCCCCCCCCCCCTCTCTTGCACGCCCCCCTCTTGAACGCCCCCGAGTATGGACAGCGGAGTCCCGCTGCGAACGAGCGAGGAGTGTGGCCCCATGCTGCCTCTGGCCTTCCTGCTTGGCAGAGATGTCGGGGTCAGCCTTCTCGAAGGCGCTCAGGGCGCGGCAGCGCGTGGCCAAGCGCTCGCTGAGAGGGTCGGCGCCGATGACGCGATCCCTGACGTCGATCACACGGGCACCGCCAAGGGCCTTCTGGCAGACGTGGTCCATCTGCAGCTTGCTTTGTCCGATAATGGGGTCCCAGAACAGGGCCTCGAGCTGTGTGCACAAAGCGTGGCAGTCCATCAGCGGCCGCATCGCCAAGGCGTGCGTCGTCGCCTCCTGCGTGCAGCCGAACAACCGCCATCAGCGGGCGAAGCAGTTGACGCGCGCCACGAAGCTCGCGTCGTGCTGTTCCAGCACCTTACTCACCGCCTGCACGAGCATGCGCTTGGTTTTGAATGTTTGGGGCAGGACGGCAGCTGACAAGTGAAGGTCTGGCAAGAGCCATTCGCCAGGGCCTTCCTTCACGTGGAGGCGCGTCTGCGCGTGGATCTCGCAGTGCGCGGCCAACTCCACCAAGCACGCGGTGCCGTATTAGTCGCGGGGGGGGAGCAGCACAACGACTCGGGCACACAAGGGTGCGCCACCACTTGAGGAACTGCTCGTAGAACAGGCGACCGAGCTCTTGCTGCTTGCCGAACACTGCCGGGGACAGGAAAGCGTTGTCGTTCCGCCACAGGGGTGGTGAAGGCAGGCGTCACGCCCCGCACCAATGGGTGCTGCGACGGCACGGTGTCGGGGTCGTCAGCGCCGCCGTGGGCAGGGCCGCCATGAGCGTCGCTGGCCTGTTCAGGGTCGCCACCGCTGCGCGCGTCAAAAATGCGGCGTTGCATCGCTAACTGGAAACACTGCGTGCGGCAAGCTCAGACCGCGATCCGCTGCACCACTTCGCGGGCAGCGTCGCGGGCGCTCTCGTGCTCAGACCGGCTCCGCTTGGCGACAGCGTCGGTTCTGTCGTTCCCGTCCCAGAGGTAGGCGTTCATTCCGGTGCGGGCGTCAACTATGTGAGCCTTAATTTTCGTCTCCACCACGCGCCTGGCAGGGCGGGCGCGGAGGGCGTCATCAACCTTCTGCCAAGGGTCGACGTTCGGCTGGGTGGCGTAGCAGCCTGGCAGGCCGCGGCCACCAGTGGCGACGCGGGCCCAGGCCTTGTCTACCACGGAATTGTTGTCGATCCAGACCTGGAAAACGTGGTCCACAGTGCTCGACGCATTGTCTTTAGTTGAAAGAAAGAAAGAAAGAAAGAAAGAAAGGAAGACCTGGGGGACGTGGGCCACAGTGGTAGCCAACATGATCACGGGAGCGAGCTCAGCACGAGCGATCGTCTGAACAAGGCCCAGAGAGGAGAGCTCCAACGGTGCCACCGGAGCGACCCGTCAGCCGTGTACATTCGGAAGACTTTCCCGCTGCCTAGAAAGCGCTGTTGGGAGTCGTCGGCAGGGTCCCTCCCAGCCGTCGCTGAAGAAATTCATGAGCCCGTCGTCGTCGACGAACACGCGCGCAAATTGGTCCAGTCCAGCGAGGCCGCGGGGACGCAAGTCTCGAGATGCACCCAAAAAACGCTGTCTGCATCTGTTGTCTGGACAATGCCGACTTCCTGGGGTCAGCTCTCTCCGGGACGGCCTCCAGGTCCGCGTTGTGCAAGCAGCAGTAACGATACCTGTGAGAGAGAGTCTCAGAACCTCGGCGCCGAATGGGCACACGGCATCGATTTCGTAGCCGGCGATCTTCGGGAAGTCCTTCTGGGTGTAGACAAGCGCGGTTAGGCACGCGACGAGGTGAAGAGGGTGCCGTCAGCCAGGTCCCTAATGTCATGGCTGTCCTTCAGAATAGTGGCCATGTCATTGCGCCCCACTGCGGCCAGCTGTGGGCGTGCAGCATCAGCACGAAGTGATGCGTAGTCTGCAGCGGCCCCAACAGTGAGGCACTCGATCTCCTGACGGCAGCAAGCCAGTAGATGACCATCGTCGCAGTCGACGTCGGTGAATCCCTAGGCCTCCCAGATGGGGCCGGAGACATCCGCGATGCATCGGCGATGCAGCGCGATCCTCTGACACCCTCTGCCCTGAACCCATCTAGGAGGCCTCTAGAATCGGGGCTGTCGGATCGACCGGTCGGTCGGGGTTAGGACGCTCGAAGTTTTGGGTCATGTTGGACCTCCGGGGGATTCCTCGTGCCCACGGCTGGGTCCGCATCGAAGTTCTGGCCATAATGTGCCCCAAGAGAGGTCGGGAGTGTCGTCGTCCTCGCCGCCTCCGCCGTCGTCGTCGTCGCCACGGCTGGATAGGGCTCGAACGGCTTGCCATAAGGAGCCCCCGGGGGGGGGGCAGGGGACGGATGTTGGTCTGAGATTGGCCTGATATTTGGTTGTTGAAGATGCCCCTCTCTCTCTCTCGCTAGCGCCTCTTGAGGCCATCGTCTCCACGGCTGGGTCTGCGTGTCTATCCTGGTCAGGGCGCGCTCTGGGGCCAGCCCTCCCATTTCATTCCAGCCCTTGCAAGTTTTCCTTTCGTTTTGTTCAGCCCTGGCGACCTCATCCCAGTTTGTTCGTGTTTCTTTGAGCCTCTGCCAGTTTTCCCAGCCCGTGTCACATCCACTTTCGTGAGACTTCCACCTAGTTCTTCAAGCTGCCTTGTAGCCGAGTCGATCTCGCGCTGTTCCCCCGGGCAGTTGCGGGTGCGGCGGCGGATGTCGCCCCAGGCCCAGGGCCCACGCCTCTTGGCGGTCGTCGAGACATCGCGACCTACGTTCTTTCATCGAGCAGCCTGCACCGAGCTATGGGCGCCCATCGTGGTGCCCCAGGGGGGCAGACATGGGGCTCTGGTGCCCAGCCATTCCGCAGACCTGGGTCGGAGAACTGAGGCGATGGTCGAGGCTCGCCGTGGCCGGCGACGCCCCCTTTCGCGCAGGATTGGTTGCAGAAGAGGAGGGCAAGAGTGAGGAGGAAGGGAAAACGAGATCGGCGGCGGGATCCCCACGTCATGGGTTTTTCCGCAACGTCGATCCCCAGAGGTCTCGACCCATTCCCTGGGACTGGTTCTTCCTCCTGGGCAGTTTCTTGCGGTCCTGGGGCTCCGCGAGGGCCCCCTCCTGCAGGGGCCGAAGATCTCCAACACCCTCCCGCCGTGATCTCTTCTTCTGCAGTGCCGGCGGCGATGCCGGCGCTGGCACTCCAGGCCGAGCGCCCTGGAGGAGCGAGCACCTCGGGGCCAGGGCCCTTCCTGGAAGCAAGCCGCGGCTCGAGGTCCACACGCGTGTCCCCGGGGGAAAGGGAGAGAGCATCAGCGACTTGGAGTCGGCGTGGGGGTCTGAGGTGGTTCCGGGGAAGGGCGGGCAGGACCGAGGTTCTGGGTTCGGGGGGGGGGGGGAGTTCTGCCGTGTCGGTCTCCTGGTGCCGTGTTCGGGCCCTGGGACAGTGAAAAACGGATCCGGGGGTGAAGAACTGTACCAGACGGACCCCGGGAGACATTTGCTTTGGTCCCAACCAGTCCAGACCCCCTGGCCGCCTCCAATCAACGACACGCTGCCTTTGGGCGCTCGTCAGCGTGCTACGGTGGGGGCGTTCGTGATGGAACGCGCCTGGGAAACTTCATACCCTGGAGGGTTCCTTATCTAATGAGGGCGGCGATAATATATTTGGCCATTCCACGATTGAAGTTACATTGGCTTCTTGACCCTGAATTCTTCATTCAATGGTTCCGTATCCCTTGCCTTCACCGTAATTTGTTGACGAGCAAGAGCGGCGCAAACATATTTTCTCGGAGCTCAGCTCCAGAGCGCGCCAGGAAGCGGGGTCTAGCGCCGATCCAAGAAATCCGCGCGGACTTACGAGAAATCATGTTTTTAGTGTTTGAGTTTTCTATGCTCGACCTCCTCTGCAGAACTCAGCCACAAGCAGAAGGGGGGTGGACGAGAGGGACATGCCTTTCAGAAGCACCCCTGCTTCTCAACGGCGCGGGCCTTATCTGTAGATGGAAGGCCAGCACTTTCTAAGAAGCAGCCTCTTTCTACGAAGCCTTCCCCCCTCCCCCATAACCGCGGACGGGCTTTTAATATGGAGGACCCACCCACCCTCTCCTGAGCTCTCCGAGGGGATTACCAGCTCGTCCCTCCTCCTCCTCCCCCTCCCTCCTCGAGCGACGACGACGGCGGCGGCCGCCTCTAGCGGGGGCCTGTGCGGTGGCCGCCCTGGGGGAAGAGTCACTGTCCAATCATTGTTGGGCTCCCAATCCGCCAATCAGCCCGCGGAGAAATGAATCAGCTTCCCGACATTGCCAAGGGGGGGGTACTGATGCCCCGCGGGGCTGACCCACCTGTGCGCGCCACCAGAGGGCTGGTGGCTTCTTCCGCAGCGGCACGCCGACTCGCCCATGGGCGCCTCACGGCGGCGTGCCGCTGCTGCTGCGTCTGCCCCTCCAGCATGCACTCGAGTAGGAGACCGTCCTCCTCCTCCTCCTCCTCCTCCTCCTCCTCCTCCTCCTCCTCCTCCTCCTCCCCCTCCTCCTCCTCCCCCTCCCCATCCTCCTCCTCCTCCTCCTCCTCCTCCTCCTCCTCCTCCTCATAATGGATGCACTCCGAAATTGCTTCCTCGTTGAACCTACGCTCTTGCCGTAGACTCGACGGACAAACTGGTTTGAGCATGTCGGTCACCCCGTTCTTTCTCTTCCTCGGTGCACGGCAGTCGGCAGCCTCTGGGTGCCCCAGGGCAGCGGGGAGGATCGCTCATGAGGCCGATCGGCTCGCGCTGGGTCGGGATCCGATGGGCCAGCGCCGTCAGGGCGGGAGCCTGGCGCAGGCTCGGGGGAGCCTGGGTGTGCCGGAGCTGGCGAGATCCCCGGACCCCTTCGCATGCTGGTTTAAAAGGTGCACTCGAGGAAAGGAGCACGGGGACCATGACCAAGATGTCGCGAGGATCATCCACTATTCGTCCCCGCTTCCTCCATACACTGCGGGAGGTGTTTTGCCATTCTCACGTAACGGGTTCGTTCCGACGCCGCTGGACAAACAAGTGTTGCTGCGCCCCGGTGTTTGGTGGCCCTCGCTGGGGCTCTGGACTGTCCAAAACCCACCAGATGAGAAAGAACCACCACCAGCTATAGAGGAAGGTCAACCATGGTGGCACCACGTTCCGGGCGCGCCCCTGGAGAGTGCCTGGACTGGAGTGCCACCATTTCGGGGGGGGGTCCTTTAGGAACGGAGTTCGGAGATCTGGTGGGTGGTGGTCTTATTGCCTTTGTTTTAGATGACTTGGGATGCCCTGGGGAAAGGGCTGGGCTTTCCAAGGACCTCGCAGTGCCGAAGGTCAGGACATCGGACGTGTGGGTGCGGGACCTTCGGAGGCCGTGCGGTGGACACCAGGACTTGTACCGGCAGCGTGCCTCCGCCGAGGGAAGATGATTCGGATCTGGGTGGTGGTGGTCATATTCGGGCGTCTTAGGTGGCCGAAAGGTCACCACCAACACCGGAATCTAGGATAATCTTCCCCCTGCGGAGGCGGCCCCCTTGTTCTGGTGTTGCTGCCCATTTCCAAGCCTCCGAGGCCCGGAGATGCGTGCGGGCGCACCTCGGGATGCGGTTCTGGCGCACATCGTGGCCAGAGCCACGGTCGAGGCGGGCGGAGGGGTCGGTGGAGGACGGAAAAAGGGCGGTATACGACATTCGTTGCGTGCTGCTGGTTCAGCGCCGCCGCTGGGCACCCTCCTCGGCACACGAGCGACGCAAGAAACGGGGTCGTTCGCGCCGACAGTGGCGCGAAAGCTTCCCGCGTAAGGACGCGCGTGAGCGCCTTCGTCTCCAGTGAATCGTGCCGCGTTGGCGACCCGCGTGAGCCGCCGCGTAAGGTCGCTGCCTTATCTTGCGCAGGACCCGTCTTCTTCGTCGCTCACACGGCCGCCTCCAGCGCATCAGCGCGCCACCAACAGCGCTGAGCCCCTCCGTGCTGTCCCCCCGTGGCCGTCCGCCCAGATGCGTCCCCCGCTCGCTGGCCGGAGGTGCGTCGCCCTCAGGGGCGTCCTGCCCCGTCCCTCGAGGGCGGAAGCGCGGGGACCACGACCCAGATGTCGCCGGACCCTGCCGACGCCGATCTTCGTCATGGTCCACGTCGGCCGTCGCTGGCTCCTGGGGGTTGTCCACGACGTGGCGCTGACCAAGATCGACGCGGACCAAGATCCGAACGACATTTCCGCGTTCAGTCTTGGTCAGCGTCCCCGTGTTCGTCCCCTCACCTCCCAGACCAACAAACAGTTCCTTCATTGCGGATCCGAGAAGGGTCCGGTCAGCGTTCGGATCGGCCGGGTACTGACCTGACTCATTCTGGCCCTGAGAGAGTTCTACGGTTGATTGGGCAGGTCTGTTCTCGGCGGCTTTGGTGGCGCCCGAAGCAACTCTCTCAGAGCGCAGCGCTGACATGGCAGATTTCTCTGGTCCCTATTTCGGTGCCGCCCAGGTGAGCGACGCAAGACAACGGGCTCGACTGCGCGGACACTCGCGCGTAAGCTTCCTCAGCCTCCCGCGCAAGATCGCGCGCGAGCGCCCCCGTTTCCGATGTGGCGTTCCGCGCTGGCGGCCTGCGTGAGCCCCCGCGCAAACCAGCTGTGCCACAACGCGTAATCCACTTTTCCGTCGCTCGGTGCCCGAGGTCGCCTGCGCGCCCCTCGCCCGTCGACTCTCCACGGCCGGGTCTGCGGTCGGGCCTCCTCCGCCTGCCTCCTCCGCGGCCGCCCTCGGCTCTTCCGCTCGCCCCTTGCGCCTGCGTCCGCCGGCGCTGCGGCGTGAAAGCGCGTGTCCTTCGTCGCTCGGGCTCGGGTCTTGCCAGAAGTGCCCCTGGCCCACGGTGCCCCCGGGATTCCCAGGGCGGCCGTCCTGGCCGCCTGAGCACCCCCGTCGCGAGGCCCAGAGGGCCCCAGGGGCTCCCAAGGGGGCGTACAGGCTGGGGGCGCCTCCTTGGGCCAGGGGCACCTTGAGCAGCCCCCGGCAGGTGTGGTGCCAGTGGCTGCTGATGTACCTCTCCGACGAGGATCGGCGGCGCGCAGGGGGAGGGGGGGGGAATAAGCGACAAGGAACAGGCCCGCAAAGAAGGCGGCGGGGCTTCCCAGAAGCCCTCCGGCCTCCCGCGAAGCCGTCCGCGTCTTCTGGCAGGGCTGGGCCCACCTCTCAGAAGGCCGGGCCAGGGGGGGGGGCCTTCCGAGCCTTCCGCGAGAGGGCCCGCTCCGTCTCCCTCCCCCCCCTGGGCACGCCGCCAAGAAGGACGCCCTGGAATTCCTGCGCCGGGCCGCCGCGGAGGCCCCCGCGTGCGCCCGCGCGCGCGCGAAGGCCCCCCGGCCGGTGGCCGCCGACCCTGAAGAGAGACGACGACGACGACGACGACGACGACGACGACGACGACGACGACGACGACGACGACACCGGCGGCGGCGACGACGACAACGCTGGCGTGGGCCAGAGTCCTCAGGGATACTTCTTGGGGTAAGGCTCTCGGGGGCCCCCTGGGGAGGCACATTCTGGAACCTCTTGGTGGCTTCTTGGGGGCCTCTTGGGAGCTTCTTGGGGGCATCGTCGGGTTCCCTCGGGACCTCTTGTGGGCCTCTCGGGGTCTCTTATAAGAAGGTTCTCGGGGGCCCTTCGGCGGCGCCCACATGGGGGTGGTGCGAGGGCAGGGCGCATTTCGATTCCTCCGAGTCGACTCGATTCGCTTTCGATGGCCTCTGATTCCGATTCGATTCGGCTTCGGATTCCGACTTCAGGCCTATGGCCCCGCCGATTTCCGAAGATTCGACTTCTCCCGACTCGGCTGACTGCCGATTTCCGCCGATCCGATTCATTCAGGGGGCTGGCGGGGGCGGGCGGGAAGCCCTCCAGGAGGCCGCCAGGGCCTCTCAGAGAGCCCCTGCCTTTGAGAAGCCCCTCGCGCCCTTCTCAGAAGCCCAGCGCCCCTGGCGCTTCGCCCCCGTTGGCGCCGCCGACCTAAGGCTCCCAGAGAGGGCGCGATGCATGTCGTGCGTGGCCCGGTCCCGACCGAGGCCGAGGTGTGCCCTCAGGGGAGGCGGCATCGGCGGCCCAGGGCTGGGGCCCTCAAGGGCTCCTTCAGGGTCCCCAAAAGGGCACCTTTGCTGCAGCCCCCGCTGCCTCCCTCCATTAAACCACCCCCCCCCAGGACGCGGCCTCCGAAACATCGGGAAGGCGCCCTTCCCCGGCGGCGGCGGCGGCTGGCCTCGGTGGTGGCCGTGTGCGGGCCTCCGATGCCCCTCGCCCGAGAGCCGCTGCGGTTGGGCCCTATAAGGGCACTGCGCAGAGCTCCAGCGAGGCGGTGTTCTTGCTCCAGCCGTGCGCCGCGCCTCGAGCTCGGCCTCCGGGGCCTGTGTTCGGGCCCCGGGGGGGTGGCCACCAACGACGGCTTCAGGGCGAACATTTGATGAGCTTGTTGTCCACCACCACCACCGCCATAAGTTGGAGGGGAGGAGGAGGAGGAGGAGGAGGAGGGGAGGAGGAGGAGGAGGAGGAGGAGGAGGGGGGGTTTTCCGCGCCCGCGGGGCGCACGACAAGACGCTGCGTAGCGAGAAACGGCAGAAACGGCAGGAGAGGAGGAGGGAGGAGGAGGAGGGAGGAGGAGGAGGAGGAGGAGGAGGAGGAGGAGGAGGAGGAGGAGGAGGAGGGGAGAGGAGGAGGAGAGAGGAGTCGAGGAGGAGGAGTGGAGGAGGAGGAGAGGAGGAGGAGGAGGAGGAGGAGGAGGAGGAGGAGGAGGAGGAGGAGGAGGAGGGGGAGGAGGAGGAGGAGGAGGAGGAGGAGGAGGAGGAGGAGGAGGGGGGAGGAGGAGGAGGAGAGGAAGAGGAGGAGGAGGAGGAGGGGGAGGAGGAGGAGGAGGAGGAAGAGGAGGAGGAGGAGGAGGAGGAGGAGGAGGAGGGGGAGGAGGAGGACCCCCTTCCCCTTCAACTTATGGTGGTGGTTGTGGAAAACAGGCCCATCAAAATTGGGAAGGGATCGGGGACTGGGGCCGCGCACTTGAAACAATCACATTGCCCTGATCGTTCGAGCAGGGGATCGATTAAAAAACTGATTCCCCCCAGGCTTGATGCTTCATCGAGTCTGCGCAAGACACGTAGACTGTCCGCAGATCCACGAAGTAGTATACGCATGTTGGCGATAAAAACAATTTGGAATAAGTTCCATCAGTTCTGTCGTCGATCCCCTACTCGAAACATTGGATGCCGAGCTTTTCTGGTCGCGACCGGCGAGTTATGTTGTTCCGATTTCCTTTCATATTTTCGTATCGGTGCTTCAAAATTGGTCGCGACCGACTTGGGGTGCCCCGATCGATCGCTACCGACCGCGGCCGATCAAGTCTAGGATCCTATGATCTGGGCATGGGATTATAGATCGGAGGGGGCGCCTGGAACGCTGGACTCCGAGTCGTTTCTGGGCCCTGGCTGCCAAATGCTTCCAGTCCTCCCTGGCAGCCCGCGCTAAGATCCCTCTCCAGACGCCCAGGTTGCCTCCAGGATCTTCGCCCCCAAGTCATCGCCAGGCCGCCAACTGCCGACCACGCTCACTGCCCTTTTGTCCTCCTCCTCCTCCTCCTCTTCCGGCTACTGGGAGGCATCCTCAGGGCGGACTCCACCTTCGCCAGCGAGCTCCCATGCAGGCTTGAAGCTATTGATGCAGGGTTTGCTGCAATGGGAAGATATTGGTACCAGGACCGCTTGCCGTACATTGAAAAAAGGACAGTCTTCCTCAGTCGAATCTTGGGCCCTGCTTTGTCGGGCCTGGAAGCGTTTATCCCAACGTCCACACAGCTTGAGAAGATCCAGACACGTATTTTGTTGTATGCCAGAAAAGCCATGAGGGGTGAGGCCACTAAGTTCATTGGTACCCACATGGTCTCAATCTCGAATGAGGATGTGCTCAGGTACTGGCGCATTGCGCCTCTGGAAATAGAATATCGTGCCAGGCGTATCAAATGGTATCAGTCTTGGGTCAGAGATCCTCTGAAGCATAAGTCAGAATGGGGGGCTCTCTTGGGAACTATGAGAGTGGAGGAGGAGGAGGGACTTTCTATTATCAACGAAAATGGACAACTCTCGGAATGTGCATGCCCCTGGGCCCGTCGGTTCGTAAACGACATCGTCTCGCTTGAGGACCTAGGAGACAACGAGTACGAAATGATCCAGGAGTTTAACAAAATGCCCTTCCGCCTCTTCACCACCCCCGAGCTCGTTGACTGGTTCACCCTCCTGGACCCCAAGGTTATCAGAGCAAAATGGCTTGGCATCGCTATACCCCCTCCTGGCTATCAAATACCCAACCCGAGCAATGTAGTTGACCAGCACACTGAATCTAATACGCTAGCTGACTATCGATGCCCCGTACACTATTGTGGTCGTGCTTTTCATAGTAAGCGTCAGCTCCTCGTTCATCTTCAGAACCACCACGGACTCAGATCGATTCTTGGGCAAGCTATTTTCTCTAATCAGTGCTTCGTCTGCGAGAGTGTCTTTGAAGCTAGGAATTCGGCCTACAAGCACGTATGCCAAAGCTTCAAGACAGGAGTGTGTGTGTATGCTAGGAGTTCGACCTACCAGCCCAGCGAGAGTACGACCTTCGAATGTCCGTTGTGTGAGGCTCAAACTGATTCGACGCCAACACTGCTTTCTCACATCAGGCAGCACTTCACTCTTCTCCCTGTCGTCGACGATGGCGGAGGCAGCAGCAAATCCAGATTGGTTCTTGAAGCCTCAGGGCAAACGAGGACTCGAAGCGGGGCAAGGCAGTTCACAGAAGGACAAGAAGCTAGCCAAATTACAGGAGGAAGTCATCAGCAATCAGGAGGGCGCGGGCTCTGCGTTGGCGGCGCTCATCACCATCTTGTGTCGCCTCGCCCTGCACAACAGCCGCGAGTTGGCGGAGCTCATCGGCGCATGTTTCGTATGCTATTTGGTTCCGCCCACAGCGGGTATGGTGCCGATCATTCAGGCGGCAGGCCAGGACTACAACGTGAAGTGCAAAGAGAAGGGCAAAGATCATGGCTTGGGCCCACCGTGGCCACAGATATTTCTCGGCCTGTTATTCTACCTGGTCAAAGAAGCAACAGATGTTCCACTCAAGGCCAAGGCGACGCTGGTCAGGTACTGGAACATCGTGGTGAAGCTACCGCATCAGACAGCGCTACGACACGTACAAGAGCACGTGAGGTTCCTCCGACTCAGGGCCTGCCACTACGACAAGAAGCAACACTCGGACCCCCAGATGTTCAAGCTACAGTTCATGGTGGCCCCAGCTCAGCAGGCACTGGTCCTTCGAGAGGAAGACAGCCAGGAGCTCCTCACGTTGCACGAGGCTCTGTCGCAAGCAGTGGAAGCTCAGGGGGGCCAATTCAAACCAGGATCAGCGCCGCGAGGCGCAATGGAGAGGGACGCGGAGAAACTACTGAATCGCATCGGGCTGTCGAACGAAGCCGTCCAGAAGCAGGTGCACAAGAAGTAGCTCGTTTGGTTTCTATCTCTGGATCTGAGCGGATGCTGGAGCTACTGAAAGACGGACTTCTGAGTGATGAGGCGCTTGCTAAGCTGCAGGCTAGATCCGCCAAGCCCATCCTAGAGTACTCAGCAGGTACTAGGAAATTCTATATGTTTCATCAGATCGGAACCCCAGTGGAGCCCTGTCTAGATATTATAACTTTGCTCCAGAGGTCCTCTCGGGTCCGACAGATGCGTGGTGATTTACCTCTCTCCTCGGTCGAGCCCCCTTCCCCCTTCCCCCTGCTTGCTCCGCCCTCCCAACCTCCACAGGCGCCTGACCCCATGCAGGCCGCTTCTGAAAGTTAATATATTGTAGGATTGCGACCTCTTGACTCGCACCCTAGAGCTCTCAGGGGATAAGGTGCCTCTGGAGGGCCTCTGAGGGGCGGCTTGCCCCCGTCTGGTCCCTCCGTAGGCCAGAGGAGTCCCCCCGCAGGGCCGCTGGTAGGCGCTAATTCACAGCGCTCACAGAGCCATATCCATATTCTCAGTCGATCTGATTTAAAGCCTTTAAGGTTTATCAGCCAGCAAGACAGCGAACAATTGGCTCGTAAGTGCTCTTGTCTTGTCTTGTCCTCCTCTTCCTCCTCCTCCTCCTCCTCCGCCTCCCGTTCCTTCCCCAGCGCAGCTAGAAGGCGTATTCCGGCCAAGCAACAGGGCAGGGGCAATTTGGTGCGTGTTTGATTTAGACCGGACAATCTCGCCCCCTTCTGTTGCTTGCTAACCCGCCTTTGTCCTTCCCTTCACTTGCGAGGGAGAGAGAGAGAGAGAGGGAGAGAGAGAGAGAGAGAGACAAACAAATACATAAAGAAAGAGAGAGCGCTCTAAAGAAACATAAAGAGAGAGAGAGAGAGAGAGAAAGAGAGAGAGAGAGAGAGAGAGAGAAAGAGAGACAGAGAGATACAGAGAGAAACATAACAAAACATGACAGATCGGGAGAGAGAGAGAGAGAAACAACAACAACAAACAGAAATAGAGAGGGGTACAGCAGGAGAGAGGGAGAGAGAAACACGAGAGAGAGAGAGAGAGAAATAAAGAGAAAGAGAGAGAGAGAGAGACAGAGAGAGAGAGAGAGAAAAGGAGAGAGAGAGAGAGAGAGCGAGAGAGCGAATGGTACGTGAACGACACATTTTTTATGGGCGTTCGCTGCGGGGTCAACTATAGAGCGGACGCTACGTGGGCCACCAGCTGGCCCTCAGGCTCCTCCTGAGTCCCCGATGCCGACCTGCTCTGCCATCCACCGAACCGGGCCCAGGAGGGAGGATGAGACGAGGAGGAGGAGGACGAGGAGGAGGAGGAGGAGGAATCCAATGAGGAGAAAGAGGAGGAGGTGGGGTGCCTGACACAGGATCTGCCAGCTCTTGGCGGAACTTGCACTGCAGGAGGGGCTTGGGAAAGCTCGTTCGGCCCCTCACTCCCGCGCCTCTCCCAAGTGTCGAGTAGAGGATCGAACATAGAATTGGTTTGCCTCAAAAGTGATTGTTGCGTCGGATGGACAGACATCTACGTGACATGTTCGAATCTCTATTCACATTCAATGTATTTGTTTCCCGTGGATTCGGCAACATATATTCTGGGACACGTCTATTCTGTAGTCGATTGCGAAGGTCTTACGGCCAGTGCCGCCGACCCTAAAGGGAGACGACGACGACGACACCGGCGGCGGCGACGACGACGACGCTGGCATGGGCCAGAGTCCTCAGGGATGCTTCTTGGGGCCTCTTCGGAAGGCTCTCGGGGACCTCTCTGGGAAGGCATTCTTGGGCCTCTGGGGGGCCTCGGGAGCCTCTTGGGGGCCTCTTCGGGCTTCCTCCGGACCTCTTGAACGTGCCTCGCATCTGTGGGCCTCCACAAGGTGGGCGCTCGCCGCAACGGCTGAAATTCCGCCCCATGATACGGATCGGAAAATCGCTCCCCGACAGGCCTGGGGGCCGAGTCTGAAAGAGGCGGAGAGGCGTAAGACTCAGGTTCGGGGGCCTGCACCCGGGGCCTCTCGGGGCCTCTTGTGGACCCCTCGGGGCCTCTTTGGAACCTCTTAGGGCCTCCTGGAAGCCGGAAGCTCCTCGGGGCCTAGGGCTCGAAATGACCGTTCGGGCCTCCCTTCTTGGTACGCTCTTGGAGCCGTCTTGGGGGCCTCTTGGGCAGTCTTGGAGGCATTTTCGGGTGCCTTGGGGTCCTCCTGGGTCGTCGTGAGGCAATATTGGGCGCACCTTGCGCTGTCTTGGAGCGGCGGGAAGTTGAAAAGGCGAGAACGCCCAAATCTGCAAACCAGCAGAAAATTCATGAATGTGGCCTCTTGGGGCCTTCTCGGGAGTGCTCTTGGAGGCTTGTTGGGACGTGCTGGAGGCCTCCTGGGCAGTCGGGCGTGAAGGCGTTTTTGGCAGATTGTTTGGCGATTGGGGACCCTCGTAGACAGTCTGCGGGGCCTCTTGGGGCGCTCTTGCCATGTCTTGGTATGTGCTGAGGCCCCAGGACCCCCAGGGGGGGATGCGTATCTGACCCGAGTCCCACCTCCCCCAGGGATCCGCCCCCCCTCCCCCTCCCCCCCTGGCGGGGGAGGGATCCAAGAGAAGAGGCTTCGATTACGACATTGCTAGTGGACGACGGAGACAACAACTGACGGAGACGACGACTCGAACAGACAAGCCCTTCACACACGCCGACAGGGTCGGCGGACTTCCAATTAGAGAAAAAAGCAGGCCCTCTCCGGATCCGGCGTGCTGGCGGTCAAGGAGAATCTGCCCGAGGCGGGCCAGCGCACCTATTTCGAGCTCCCGTGCGGAGAGGCCCCAGGGGGGTTGTCGCCGTCTGGGGGTCTGAGGTGGCCCACAGCGCTGGTGTCGGTCAGCACGAAGGGTGGGAAGGTGCGAGCTCAGCTGCCTCGATACGCCCTGTGTGAAACGCAACTCGTACCGTGCTTACAACGTTCGTGTCAATACGTTGCGTGTTGTCTCAGCGTCGTGGGTCTTGGCACACGTTTTGGCGGACGTATCGCGTCATACATACGTTTTGAGTCTGCGTGCTGAGCTACACATCAGCACGCTACGTGTTGCGTGTTGCGTACCAGGGAAGCCAAGGTCCGAGGTTCTGGGTTCGGGGAGGCTGTCTACCTTCTTCTGCCAGATCCGGGGGATGGACCCCAGGATGGGTCTGGTGACCGATTGTGAGCGGACCTGGCCCCATCCTCCCCTCCAACCAGTTCAGACCTTTTGGCCGCCTCCAACCAGGGGGGTCACTGCAAATGCGGGCGACGACTTCAGCGGCGGCGTCGGCGACGACCACCTGCTGCGGCGGCGACGACGCCTCGGGCGCTGCTGGAAGTGGTCCTGGCCCGAGGCGTGCCCAGCGCTTCCTTGGAGCCCTTGGGGGCCCTTCGGGGCCTTTTGATAGGGCACTCTGGAGGCCCCCTGGGAATCCCTCGAAATCAATGGGGGCACCTTGCTTGGGCCAGGGACCCTTGGCAGGACCCGGTCGAAGGCGACTGTGACGGCGGCGGGGCAGGAAGAGTGCCCTGCGGGCAGGGACGGGGCATTTGCTCAGACGAGGGGTGAGAGGCCAGTTTGTTGGCACAATCCCCAGAGCATGCAGGAGCGTAAACATCATCACTGGGGATTCGTCGTTACCTCGGTCGGCTCGATCTGGACACCGCGAGGTGGGCCGTTTCCCCGCCATCATGTTGCCTCGCCGACAGGCGTTGCCCAGAGCGGGCCGAGCACACTTCGCGCGCAGGCTGGTGTCGGTGGTCGCCCGGGCACGTGCACCCGAGCCCGAGCCTCGCTGGGGCCGTGAGCCGGGCCTTGGCCGCGGCGGGCGCCGCGGCCTTCCGAGCTGCCCGCGCCCCCTCCCCCCATGCCTCGTATACGTGAGGCCTCGCTGCAGGGCAGCCCCACAGGTCCCGCGAGAGCTTGTAGCTTTACAAGGGCGCGGTGCTCCTCCACTCTGCTGCCGCCGATCGGGCCCTGCCCCTGCGGCGCTGCGGCATCGGACACCCCCGCTGGGGCTTCACTTGGCTGCAGACATCCTTCGAGCTTTATTCAAGCAGTGGCGAAGCGTCCTGGCACGCCTATAGCCCTACCAAACAATGTTCTAAGAACCTGTTGTGGTTTCCACGACATGTTCTTAGAACATTTCTGGCTGGGAGTGGATTGTTTTAAGGCATCGGGTTTATGTTCTAAGAACAGTTGTTTTGTTCTTAGAACATTTCAGGGTTCTAAGAACATGTCGTGGTAGGACTATAGGAATGCCGGGACGGTCGGTCCCTGTTCAATGTATGCACTAGCTGTTTTTTTCAGAAAGTTGACCTGCAGGGGAGGGGCTCGCTTGCGGTTGTTCAGATCCCCGCACCGTCAGGGCAAGGGGCGGCCAGGGGTGACTATATAGATTCGCGCCTGGACCGAACCGGAGTCATCCCGGACCGCAGCTGTCCCGGATCATTCGGTTGTCCAATTTGCGTATTCAGTATTTCTCATTATCCTTATCATTAGGAGGAGGGAGGAGGAGGAGGAGGAGGAGGACGAGGAGGAGCGAGAGGGCGGGATGGGAGGGGAGAGAGGAGAGAGATCCTACTTCCTCTCTCCTCCTTCCTCCTCTCTCTCCCAGGAGGATGAGGAGGAGGATCCTCTCTTCCTCCTCCTCCCTCCCTGCGTCATCATTGTGTCTTCTTACTATCAGTACTCCTCCCGACGTCGACGGCGTCGGCGGCGACGGCGCCGGCGACGGCCATGGCGCCCCCGGCGCCCGCGCCGAGGCCTACCCAGGGCCCGGTTGCGGAGACGGGGAGCTCCCGGTGCCCCCCCCGCGGCCCCTCTCCTGTGGGCGTTGCGCTGCCGCGCGTGGGAGGGGAGAGGAGCAGATCATTAACCTCAGGAGGGGAAAAAACACACAGACACAATTAATCGTCGATTCCCAGGAAAATATAGGAAAATATGGGAAGTGGGGGGGAAGACAAAAACCCAGAAAATTTGTGAAAATATAGGGAATCCTTGTTATTTGTGTGTATTTATTTGTGTGTCTCAGGGCCCCTTCAAGATCATTAACCATAGTACAAGCCCTAACCCAATACGGTGAGTTGAGCCTCAACTTTTCTCCGCGGCTTTTGGGGATACATATCCCGGAACATACTGGTGGTTGCCGCGCGTGGGAGGGGAGAAGAGCAGATCATTAACCATAGTACAACCCCTAACCCAACACGGTGAGTTGAGCCTCAACTTTTCTTCGCGGCTTTTAGGGATACATATCCCGGAACATACGGGTGGTGTAGTTTGACACATCTGCGAACATGTTCTCGGCACCCTTCCGCTGACGGCGCCGGATCATCTTGTACGTGTGTTGCCAAGCCCCTCGACCTTGGGAAACTACACTCTTGCAGCCTCCCGCAACGCATTATTCTCCGAAACCAAGATGAGACACCGAGCCAGTTTATAGAAGGAGCCATGTTTGTCAAGACCGCGATCACGCTCCAACTACAGATATGGAAGATCGCATCACGCGTGCCAGGTACAACATATGGTTTTCAGCACTGTGTAGACGAACCTCTGTGCCGCTGATTTCCCAGCGCCGAGCAGACTTTTCCACATGAACGGATACATTGAGTCATGCTAAGAGAAAGCGCCAGCGCCCCCGTGGAAGGCGAACGGAATGGCCTTGTTCCAATCCTCCACCTTCAAGATGGGATGGTTGTACACAGATGGAGTGTTTTGCGTCGACTTCAAAAAATCCAGACTCGCTCCTTCCAACCCCGTGATGCACGTCTCCCACGCTCGCGGGGCGTGACGACAGAAATTGCGAAACCATACGCGCAGCAACAGAAACGGATGAGCTACTTGGCTTTCTTGGCTGGAATCTGATTTCACGTGAAATCAGACGATCCTGGCGGCTTGCCGGAAGATGCGATCAACGCTCTCAGCGCGATCTGGGCGCGCGTGCTGCGGGCAAATCGATTTAAACCGACAGTTCCTTGTCTGTGCGCTGCTGTCGCGTGTTCAAGGACCTCCACCAAGCTCAGCCCAAGCTCAGCCCGCTTCTGCCCCAGTCTCGTGTCATAATAGATGTGCTCTCTTGGAGGCAGCGTGGGATGCATTCGGACCATCTTGGGCCGTCTTGAGGCCATTTTGAACCGTCTTCGAGGCATCTTGGGCCATCTTGATGTTCTTGGCTGCCTGCAGGTGCCGTCTTGGAAGCTCGGGGCGCACCTCCATCGGCTTCTTAAGAGAGATCGTGGCCTCGGGAAAGGAGGCGATACATGCAGATTGCCGCGTCCCTGTTGGGGGGGAGGGTGCCGGACTATTATGCAGAAACCCTACAAGGCAGCAGCGTGCATTCACCCATGCCTCAACGTGCAAAGACACATTGGCGAATTGGGTCATCTTGGCGGTCTTAATGGATTTTCTGGGCCGTCTGGAGCGCCCTGGACAGCCTCGGGGAAGCGTCGGGCCGCCCCAGGATCTGAGGAGATGCACGCGGCTGGGCGTGACTGGGAGGGGGGCGTGACCTATCCGACTTGCAGAAACCCTACCACGCAGTACCTGGCATTCTACCACGCCTCATCGTGCCAGGGTGGACAGTGGTGTATCGGCGATTGTTCCTTCTTCGTGGCCCCATGCGGAGGAAAGGATCGTGCGGGATTGAGGAGCAACATGCCCTGAAGAGCAGGGTGAGGAGTAGGAGGGAGCAGGCCGATGGGGGAGAGAGGCGGAGGAGGAGGAGGAGAAGGGAGGAGGAGGAGGAGGAGAGAGGAGAAGACAGGAGGATCATCACAGGACGAGCTGGGTGAGTAGATTTAGGCAGAGGAGGAGGAGGCCGATGTCTTGATTTCTTCTTCAAGTGGACCCCGGATGGTGGCCCCCTGATGTCGACCCGCTCCCATGTGTTTCTCGCCCCGGATACTTGTTTGCCGGTTGCGGACCCCGAACGTTGTCCCCAGATGCCGAGACTGACGCCCCGCGTCCGCCTTGGGTTCTGGGATGTTGGAGCTGTGTGTCCTCCTCCTCAGGGTCGATGCCACGGAACTCTCGAAAGGTGCGCCGTGACCAGCATCTCTTGGAGAAGCCCGCTGGAAACCCAAAGTCTTGGATGCTCTCTGCTGGAGACTCGAGCTTCCATCCTCGAGGTCGGTGGCCGTCGCACGGTCGTTGCGCGGTCCACTGGTCGGGCGTGGTTGGCGCGGCTGTCGTCGTTCTCGTGAGGGGTGGCCGCCGGGCGGCATGGCGGTCCTCCGATCCTCGGGCCGAACGAACGAGAGGGGGGATAGGGAAAGGGGGGGGTGCGAAATCTGCTGCATGCAGCTGGTTTCGGCCCCGCCGCCGGGCCCATTCCTCGATACGAGGCCGCCTCCCGGCGCCGGGAGGCGCCGGAAAATCAGCTGCGGGTGCTGATTCTCAAACCCCCCCTTTGCTATCCCCCCCTTTCGCCCGGCCCGAGATCCGATCAGGTGGCCGTCGTGCGGTCCACCGGCCACATGGAGAGGCTCTTCAGCTCCGCCGGCCTTGCCGTCGTCCTCCAGGTGGCCCCCCGCGCGCACCCCCTCTCCCTGAGGACTGCTAGCGTCCAGTGGCGATGTTGTTTCTGCAACTCGGCCTCCGGGGGCTGCCTCCCAGGACTCAGGACGAGGGCACCGACCGCTGGGTAAGCGGTCGAGACCCTTGGCGTCCGCGGGTTCCACAGCAAACTGGCTCTCTTGCAGCAGAAATGCCCTGAACAGATTCACATGGGCGACGACAGATCTCGCGGGCCCGAGGGGGGGGCAACGGGCCCCTACCTCAGAGGCTAGCCATCTCCCACTGGTCCTTGTAGGACCAGGGAAGCGCAAACACACGGAGCAAGGCGCGTGGATCAGCAACGGGCTCCGCTTCCGTGCGAGATCGGCGCGCTGCACTGGCCCCATGTTCCGGGGGGTCTGTTCGCCGATTCGTGGATTTGGCGCCCCGCGCCGGATCCACGCATCCCTCACCCATGTCTGCGAGCGTTCGGCAGAAGCAGTATACATGACCCCTGCAAGCGAGCTGATTCGGTAAACGCATCCCAAGGCGTCCGAGGAGGCTTGTTGTCTACAGGACGCGGCCTCAAGCATATCTCAGGAGGGGAAGACACACGCAGACACAATTAACTGTCGACTCCTCGGAAAATATAGGGAAATATGGGAAATGGGGGGGAAGACAGAAACCCAGAAAAAAATTGGAAAATATGTGGGGTATGTTTTTTGTGTGTATTTGTTTGTGTGTCCCAGGACCCCTTCAATATCCCGACCCCTTCCCAGGGACGCCTGGCCATACCCCAGGCCCAGGTTTGATCGTCCCGGGGCCCGGCGACGGGCCCCAGAGGCGTGCACGGCTACCCCTTGGGACCGCAGGCGACCCGAGGAGGAGGAGGAGGAGGAGGAGGAGGAGGAGGAGGAGGAGGAAGGGGAGAATTATTAGAAGGAGGAAGAAGAGGAGGAGGAGGAGGAGGAAGGGGATAATTATTAGGAGGAGGAGGAGGAGGAAGAGGAGGACGACGGGTCGCCGAAGTCCTTCGGAGAAACCCTCCACAGAGACGGAAGTTGAGGTAACGCGCCCGGATCGAAACAGTCGTTTCGTTGATTTGTGCCGTCGGATGTCTGGCATGCAAGGCTCCAGGAACCCTGGGGGCTCGAGGGCCAAGGGTCAGGGTCTTCTCGGCGCGCCCTTGGCCGGGGCGACTCGCCGTCCTCCCGGCGGTCCGCCACCTCGGTCTTGCTGCTCTCGCTATCCTGGTCCTGTCGTCGCAGAACGATGTGCGGCAACATTTTTGTTCATTACCCATCGCTCTTTGGTTTCGAGAAACACAAGACGACATGAACATAATTTGACTCTTGGAGCTCCGCGCGGATTCCTTGCATCGATTCGCTGGGACCCCCTCCTTGGCGCGCGGAACCCCCCAAGGGCGGCGCCCGAGGCGCTGCCAGTGGGGGCCAGGGCCGATCTAAGAAATCTGCGTGGAGCTCCGAAAGTTTACGTTTATGCAGTCAAGATTTTGAAGCAAGGACCACTTCGGGCTCGCGGGGGGGGCTCTGGTTCAAGGCCAGTCCTTCGATCTAGGCCAGAAAACCGATTCGTGGCCGAGGCTCGGCGACACGTCCGACGACGGCAATTCAGACTCCGATGACGACAACGACTCCGACTGGGGCAACGAGGACTACGCCGATCACGATTCCGACGACGATTCCGATTCCGACCACGATGGCGATTTCAAAAACGACGAAGCCGACAATTCCGACCACGACGACTCCGGCACCGGCGCCGACGATGACGACACCGACGGCGACGGTGACTCCGACCGTTTTGACTCCAACGGCGACGGCGACGGCGACGTGACTCCGACAATTCAAGTGACGGCGACGACGACGACGATGACGACAACGGCTTCGACGAAGACTGCGTCGACGACTCCGTCGACGACGCCTCTGACTCTTACAAGGGCGATTCCGACGACTCCGACAAACACGATTCCGTTGAAGACGAGTCCGTCGACGATGGTCTTCCCATCGACCCCGACGACCACGACTCCGCCTCCGACGACGGTAGCTAGCGACGAATCGGACAACCCAAATGACGACGCCGACGACGCTTCGAAAGCTTCTGACGACTCCGACGACTCCGACTCCGATGCTTGCAAAGACGGCGGCTCCGACGCGGCGCCGCGGACACTGCGGGCGGTGGCGGAGCGGGCGCCGTCCCTGCCCACCCCGCCGGTTTGCCCGCGCGCGGCGGTGTTCCCGCGGCCGCCCGCCCCCTCGGGGGCCGTTCGACCGCCCGCGCAAGGCTTCTAGCACCAGGGCTAAGTCGGGCCTGTCCCTCTACAGGAGAAATATTCAAAAATAGTCACCAAGAAAAGATATGGGGACGATTATGTAGCATTTTTAAATCTATTTTTGGACCAGGTATGCACTATTTTTCATGTTTCGACCAACAATTCCATTCCCTGTGGGGGACAGGCCCGACCTGTGATCAGGGCCGCCCTGCCTCGCAGGCCAGCCCGCCAGCGGCGGCAGGGCTGCCCGATGCGGGGGACGGGGCAGGGCGGGGGCACCGCTCCGAGCAGGAAGAGGCACCCCTCGGGAAACTGGAACGTATGCACTACCAGCGGCGGGCCGCTTTTCAATCCCAGGATTATTGGAGAGGCCTGACGGCCGGTGCCGCCGACCCTGATCGAAAGGGCTAGGAGTGGGGGGAGGAAGCGGAGGATGAGGAGGAGGAGGAGAAGGAGGAGGTGGATCAGGAGGAGGAGGAGGAGGAAGAGGAGGAGGAGGAGGAGGAGGAGGAGGAGGAGGAAGTGCATCCTTTGTGTGCCCCGGGATTTTTTGAGGGTCGGGGACGACGTCGGGGTGGTGTGGTGTATGCTCGTTTCTCCGTTGTTGAAGGCGCAGCACCTTCTTGATGCCGTGGACAGGCTGCTCAACATCTGTCACAACATGTAGCCGGCGCCTCGATTACCGCATTGCCCAAGGATGACGGCGACATTCGGCCAATCGCGGTTGGGGAAGTCTTTCGCAGACTTACCAGCAAAGTTCTGTGTGCTGACGTCAAGGATGAAGCGCGCCGTCTGTTCTGGCCTTTGCAAGTTGGCGTGGCAAGCCCACTCGGAACAGAGACAGTCGTGCACACATTTCAACGATATGTAAGTCGTCACAGGAACTCGCCAGACAGAGCGGTCCTCCTCATTGATTTTCGCAATGCGTTCAATAGCGTGCAGCGGTCTGTTTTCTTGGACGAGGTCGGCAGGCACATGCCAGGCTTGGAGGCTTGGGCTCGGTGGTGTTACGGTGGCCCATCGGACCTGCTGTTTGGCAGCCACGTGCTGACGTCCAGCAGGGGAGTCCAGCAGGGCGACGCCCTTGGACCTCTCCTGTTCTCGTTGGCTGTTCATCCTCTCTTGCAGGAGCTGAAGACCGATGCTGGGTTGGACATAGTATGCGGCTACCTCGACAACTTTTGCGTGGCGGGCGAGTTCGGCGCGACGCTGCGGGCGTTGCGGCTGATTCAGCGGAAAGCAGCAAGCCTGGGCCTTGAGCTGAACTTGGACAAATGCGAGGTAATCCCCACGGCTGGGCGCAATACGGAGTGCAACCTGTCCGAGTTCCCCGCAAGTGTCCAGCGGAGAATCGATGGTTGCTTCAAATTGTTCGGCGCCCCTGTCGGTGGCCAAGAGCATTGCGCAGAGTACTTGAAGGTGAAGAGAGTGCAGAAGCTGACCGCAATGCTCGACGAGGTGCCATTATTGGAGGACGCCCAGGTCGCCCACAAGTTGCTGTCTCGATGTTTCGGCGCCTCAAGGCTTATGCATAATATGCGGACTACGCGGCCTGACTGGATAACACATGGTCTAGAACAGAGCCAGCGGGCTCTCAGGTCGACATTCCAGACCCGCACAGGCACGGCGCTAAACGAGAGCCAGTGGCAGCAGGCGTCCCTGCCCTTGAGCAAGGGAGGACTGGGATTTCGGTCTGGAAGTTACCACGCTGCCGCGGCTTACCTTTCCTCCCGCACGGCGACGCGACACCTATGCGGTCAGATCGACGCTGCCTTCTCGTGGGGCGGGGCCTGTGATGGCGGCGCCCTGACAGCAGCACCCGACCTCTATAATGGGGGCGTCCTGCAGGAGCACCGCATCACGAGCGAGCATTTGGCTGCCGAGGACTCCTTCCCCAGCCAGCGGTCTTTGTCAATGCACGTGGACGAAAGACTCCTGGACCAGCTTATCGCGGCAAGCCCAGACGCGCACAAGGCGAGGCTCCTTGCGACCAGCGCGCCGCACGCGAGCGCATGGCTGCAGGCCCAACCGTGTAGCGCCCTGGGGCAGCGCATGTCCCACTTCGAGTTTGTGGCGGCTTTGCGTTTGTGGCTGGGGTGCCATGCCTCTAGCAGGGACGACTGGTGCCCGAAGTGCGACCAGGTGATGGACGCGCAGGGCCTGCACTCCCTCAGTTGCATGGCGGGTGGTGACGCGGTCATGGTACACAGAGCCTTGCGCGATCAGGTCCACTCCTTTGCGCACGCAGCGGGCCTCCGTGCCGAAAAGGAGGAGAGCGGGCTGCTGCCAGACGACCCCCGCCGGCGGCCCGGGGACATCCATTTCCCGACCTGGCCGCTCGGCCCGCCCCTGGCTCTCGATTTTGCTGTCACGTCGCCTCTCAGACAGTCAGCGGTGCAAGGGGCAGCCGCCAGACAGCTTAGCGCGGCCACGTCATACGAAGGGGCGAAGCTTGCAGACAGAGATACTGGCGCGCGCTGTGAGCAACTGGGCATCCGCCTAGTCCCCATGGTCGTGGAATCCTTCGGCGGGCGGGGCGAGATGGCGCAAGACGTGTTCCGGACCCTGATTCATGCCCGTGCAGCGCGCAGTGGCGAGACGGTGAGCAATGTCACCACTTTCTTATATTCTGGCCTTAGCATCACTCTGATGCGTGCGAACGCACGCGCTTTGCTGGCCAGGATCCCTCAGGAAGTCGGCGTCCATGCTGACCACGTCGGCCGCGCGGCGACCTTGCTGCAGGCGGGGCGCCAAGACGAGGCCGATGCCCAGATAGTATGAGGGATTGGTGGCCCCACTCGTTTTTCCGCAGTATCCTGCTGCCCGTTGTGATTTTCCCCCCACTGCAGGCCTTGACGGTGGCATTCTCCGTTTTTGTTGGCGCCTGGTAGCGCCATTTGGCCCGCTTCCTTTCTTGCCTTGGCCCCGGCCCTTTCTCTCTCTTCGCTTCCCTCTCCTCCTTCCCTCCCCTCTCTCCTCCCCCTCTCCGTGTCCTGCCCCCTTGCCCTTGTGTTTCCTTGCCCTAGTGTCTTGCGTGCTCTCCCTCCGTCTCCTCGCTCGGTTTCTCTTCCTTTCCCCGTCTCCTCGTCTGTCCGTCCGTCGGCCTGGTCTGTCCTGTCCTGTCGTCCTCCCTCGCCCCCCCCCCCTCTCGCTCCTCGGTTCCTCGCTTTCCCGTCGGCCCCGGTTCCTTGCCTTGCCCGCGTTTTCTTTGTCGGCCTGTCCTGTTGCCCGAATAAGAGAGCGTTGTTTTTCCCGCCGGGTGCTGTCGAGCACACCTGGGGTTGGAGGCCTTTCCTTGACCGTGAGTTGTCGCCAGCGGATTTGTCCAGGATCCCGCATGCACCAGAATCCGCGCTCCCGTGCGAATTTCAGCGCAGCGTCGGGAAGAGCATCGGGTGTACAGAGTCCGTTCCGTTAGTGCCGGCACCGCTGCTCGTCCTGGAGGGCCCTGGTCGCCCCGGCCAGGGCCTCTTGGAAATTCGGGTCCGAAGGCAGCCTGGGCGAGGTCTGGCGAGCAGCAGTGCTGAGGAGGAACGTGGACCACGGCCACCGAGAACCCATCGGACGAGGACCGACCCCTGAGCGGTGGCACGCTTGAGCGTCGTCCTGTGTTCGGTGACGCTCGGGCGCGCCACCGCCCAGAGGTCGGCGCCCTGACGATGGGTTCTCGGTGGCGGTGGTCCATGTTTTACCCCTGAAAGTAGCGGTATCCGTTTCTGTTGCCCCCCACTGTGTTCGCGGCGGTGCCCCAAAAGAAGCGGCGCCGCTCATCGCGAGAATGGGCCCAGGGTGGGGGACGGGAAGTCCCGCGCCCCGTGCGACCGGATCATCATTGGGCCTTGCGTGTCAGCCGGCGACATTCACAGATCAACGTAATAAGAAAGATGTTGTGGTAACTCTGTGTTTGTCTCCTCCTCCTCCTCCGCCTCCTCCTCCTCCTCCTCCTCCTCCTCCTCCTCCTCCTCCTCCTCTTGCTCTCGCTACCAGAAAGCGCGCCAGACCAGACGCAGAAGAAAGTATCTGGCCAGAACATTGTGGGAAATCCAGCCTTCGCGACGAGCAGCCCCTTGGAACCCTCCCAGGTCCGTGCGTGATTGCTTCTTCACATCTGGTGCACGTTTGCGTGATCCCAGGCCCGGCACGGCCCATCCAGAGCATTGGCCCTGTCATCAAGGGGAATCCATATTTGGCGACGGAAGCCTTCCTCGAGTTACAGGCCCCAAAATGCGCAAGCACGCAGAGCCACGATCCTCGACACTCCCTCCCTCCTTTCAACCCCCCAAGGAGACTTCGTTTTTCTTTAAGGGTCCGACGATGATAACCCCGGTTATTCGGCCCGCACGTCCGTTTTGCCCCTCCCCACAGATAGTTTGACGTTGCTGGTTGCGCAGATCCGAAGGGGTGATGCAGTATTGATGCGCGCGGGCGTCCGTGGAGCTACCCGCAGTGCATCGGCCAGCACCGCCCTCCCCCCACCCCAACGGATAGTTTGAGCCATCGCCGAAAGATTGACCGATCTCCAAGATCATTACCACGAGGAGCAGACGATACCATAGACAGATCGTCAAGTCACATACTAATGATGAGCGGTTTCCCATTTCGACGCTTGCATACTTCTCCTTCGGCTCATCCTTGGCCACTTTTGCTGGCCGCGCCCCTCTCGAAAGGTGTTGGCATGGCCCTCCAAGGCCCTGGCATCCTCATCGTTCATCGTGCATCCTTACTACGCGCCTCGACTGTAAACATCTGCATCGACATGTTTATACTCTCGCCGCAGAGTACCGGCGGCGCGCCCAGGGGAGCAGTGAGTGAGCGGGGGCAGGCCTTCTCGGAGGGCGGCGGGGCTCTCCGAAGCCCCCCGCGCCTCCAGAGAGGTGCTCGGTGCCCCCAGGGAAGGCCCAGAGAAAACTTGCCGGCAGGCCCGAGGCCTCCCGAGCCTCCTGCAGCAGGCCCGCCCCCTCCTCTCTCAGCAGGGGAAAAAACACACCGACACAATTCATCGTCGATTCCCCAGAAAACATGGGAAAATATGGGAAGTGGGGGGGAAGGCAAAAACTCCGAAAATATTGGAAGATATGGGGAATCCTTTTATTTGTGTGTATTTTTTTGTGTGCTTGTGGGC